TCAGAGACCCACTCCTTCTTTGCAGGGATGAAACAATCAGTGCCCTGGAAGGACCATGGACATGAGGAAAGAAGGGATTCTGAGAGCAGGCTACATGATCCCAGGAGCATCAAGGCCCCTAGTTCTCATCTTGACTCTAATTCTCTGCTTTCCTTTCTCTTGGCCACTGCATCGTTGCTGCCCTTGGACACTAGACTACTACTTCGAGTCTAATGAAGAATCGGATCAGGAGAGCACCAGTCTGCATGTAATTTATTTCTTTCATCTCTTCTCCACTTTCTCTTTTCTTCTAATCATAAGCTCCTCTTTGTAGCACTTTTGCATCCCCATTTTGGTTGATTCTTGTCCTGAAGGATCTGACCTCATGCAGGCACATGTGTCCTGGGATCTTTTATAAAAAGCTCTCTGCAGCCCTCCTCCCCCTGGCATCTCCCTGGCTCCTGACCCCACTTCTGCACCATTGAATCTGGTGGAGCTACTCAGAGTGGTCCAGGCAGGAAGCTGGCTTTGAGTCAGACCCCTTTGAAATCTGTCCCTGCCCTGGGATCCCCCACATGGGTGTTCTGCTGCCTTGGACAGCTCTGGACACATGCAACTATTTTCTTCCCTCCAGATGTCAAGATACTCTCTCCTTCTCCTCTTAAGAGAAGCTCTTGGGTCTGCAGTCAGCAAAGAAGATGACATGGAGGAGGAGACATAAATATGGAGGCGGGGGATGAAAGGTAAGGCACACAAGTGCACGTGTTCTCCCTCACGCCCCTAACTTACTTGATGGCATTTCGGAAAGACCAGCACAAACACTGAGGCAGCTGCTATTGCATGTGACACAAATGTGGAGAAAAGAGGATTGTAATGATTCATGCAGACAGGTGGAGAATGCTGTGAGCTGAGCATATCTCCTAGGGGGACTGGTATCCTTTCACAGAAGACCCCGAGGTTCCTAGGTGTTGTCCTCCAGTAGCTCTCACACTGGAGGGGAGGAGCCAGCGTGTGTCTGACTCCAGCAGATGCTGTTCAAACTGTTTCTTTGTGAAGAGCACCACTGGAGTGGCGCATCATCGCCATCCGCAGACCTGGTCCTGCCCTTTCAAGCCTGTCGTCAGCCCAGGGCACCCCCACTTAATCACTAGGTGATGGCATTGACTTCCTCAGTTCCAAAGGTTTGGGAAAAAAAAGTGAAGAAGACACAGGTACCCCAGTGCTCAGAAAGCAGGACAGCCCCACCTGCCCAGCCTGGGATCCCTGTGGTGCTTAGTAGTCCTGGCATCAAGTAGAGGATACTGAAGGATCCCAACCTGAGTGGGAGCTGTCCAAGCTTCTGAGGAGGCCAGTGGAGCGCTTAGGTCCCCTGGGGGGACCATTTCTCACACTGAAGTTTGAAGTTCTGTAGATTCTAGTCTATGTGTCAAATTCCCACTAAACACCTGAGAACAATTCAAATCAGGGTTCGCCTGGGATGAGTTACAGGGAAGGATTCAAGTTACTTTTTGTACCTTTTACTTATTTGTATTTATTTTAACATGAACATCACTTTTTTTTATTACACTTTAAGCAGTGTCTTCTGTAAACTTTTCATGTTGCAATATACCACTGAGATAAATCCATGTTTTTATTACCACAGCTTAAGGATTTTTTTAAATTAAAAGCACAGGCAAAGCTCTGCTGGGGGCTTAGAATCATTGTCGTTTAGTTATTAAGTCGTGTCCAACTCTTTGCGACCCCATGGGCTGTAGCCCGCCAGGCTCCTCTGTGCATGGGATTCTCCAGGCAAAAACACTGGAGTGGGTTACTGTTTCCTTCTCCAGGGGATCTAGAAGGAATGATCAGGGATAAAGGCAGCTGCCCATGTCTCTGTCATTTCCACCGGGCAGATCTCATGATTAGTGGTATTGTGTGGGCTGGAGGGGCAGGGTCACCCCTCCCACCTGTGTTATCAGAGCCCCGGCTCCTCACAGGTTCCAGGGGAGAGGCGCTCGGCTTCTTTGCCCCAGATCCCCAGACCTTCCCCTTTCCTCTGCACCAGTTTCTCTGTCCAGGGACTTGAAGGCTACCCAGACAAACGACCAATTCAATTGCTCCAGAGGGACATTCATAGTCCCTCTCTGCTAGCAGACAACACCTTCAGCAAAGAGCAGCAAAGAGACCCCAGTGCCCTGTGGAGCTGACCTCTGGGGAGGTCAGGACCTGAGGCTACTTCCCCGGCCTGCGGAGTCTTCTGGCTCCTGCACACTCCCTACACACACAGCCCAGGGAGCCTTCTTCCATGTCTTTGTGCCTCCTCAGTGATTCCAGCCCTTGTGTTTGTGTGGCAGGTTCTGCTCTGACACCTGTGGAGGCCTTCACCTGGGGGCCTCAGCCTGGGCCTCAGAGGGGAAGGACGCAGTACAGAGTCAGGAGGTTTCCAACTGGACAAGGAACAGGGTCGGCCTCACTGCTCATCTCCTAAGGAACCTCATTAATACAGCTTAGTTTTTTTTTATTGTATAGCTTTAGTATTATGTTCAGATATATGTTTTATATATACTATGGAAGCTTTCTATATTAAATGACATTCATCTATCTAGTTGCTTTTAACATATTTTCCTATGAAAATCACCCTTATCAGAGGCAGGACTGAATGAATTGTTGTCAGGCATTCACCCTCGTGCCCACCACCAAGGTCATGCCCTCTCTCATGTCACCCTCATTCAGTCTTCATTACATCAGGTGATGGTGAATTTAGTCCATACCATCTGTCCTGATGTGTCTTTCTAAGGATTCTGTTTTCTGAAGTCTGTTCATTCTTTTGATCATGGGAACAGTATTTCCCTAGATCTTTCACGATAACTTGAATGACAGGGCCTTTGATACCCAGTTACTTGCCTGCTAGAAAATTCATGATTCATCATTTCTCTCCTTGAGCAGTTCAAATACATTGCTCTATCTTCTTCCGGCACAGAGTATGTCTCTCCACAAAGTTTGAATTCTGATTTTTTGTTCTGTTATACGCCACTTGCTCTTTTGTTCTAGATGCCCAAAAGATATTTGTTTTTCTTTAAAGCCCTGTAAGTTCATTAGAATATCATCTGCCTTTAGTCATTACAAGTGAATGCACATGGTTCTCTTCAAAATACAATTTAAAAGTTGTTTTTAAAATTATCAGAAAAATTTGGACAATAATGCCTATTATTTGCTTTGCATCTTTATTGATTTTTCTCTTTCAGGTCCTTGAATCTTTCAAATATCAGATCCCTTATGATTATATTTCACTTTTAACACACTCAAGAAATATTTTATAATTTTTTGCTTAATTTATTTTCCAGGAGTGTTTTTAAACAGTGTTTAAGTTCTACCTCCTTACTGTTTCATTTCTTACAAGGCATTATTTGACAGCATGTTTCTGTTTAAATTTCATTTACGTGTGCTTTTCAATATTTTCTTATTCTTTTGGGAGTTTCATGTCTTTGTTTCTGAGTTTTCTTAATTCTGATCTATGATGTAATTTTAGTGTTCATTATTAATTCATAGCATCACCCATGAAAAGAGAATGGTCACACCCATGAAGAATCGTTAAGCATTTGTGTAGGGGTTCATCACTCCAAGTCCTTTTTTGTTTGTTAACTGAAGTACAATTGACATACATCCTGATACTTTCAGCTGTACAAAGCAGTGGCTCCACATCATGGTACAGAACAAAATGATCAAGCAACAGGACTAGTTCCCATGTGCTGTGATACAAAATTACCACACTATTACTGACTATATTCCCCATGTTGTATATTTCATCCCCTTGACTCATTCCTTTGGGAACTGGAAGTCTGCAACCCTTAATCTCCTGCAACAATTTATTTATCACTCAATCCCACTTCCCCCTGGCAACCAGTTGTTTGTTCTCTGTATCTATGAGTCTGTTGTGTTTCTTCACTTATTTTGTTTTTTTAGATTTCCACATATAAGTCACATCATATGCTATTCATCTGTATCTGTCATTTCACTTTGCATAGTACTTTCTAGTTTCATCCATGTTGTAGCAAATGGCAAGATTTCATTCTCTTTTATGGCTGAATATCATTCCATTCCATGAGTAACCACATCATCTTTATCCATTCATCTATCAATGGACACTGGCTGCTTCCTTATCTTGGCCATTAAAATGATGCTTCAATAAACACAGAGCTAAATATATCTTTTCAAATTTTTTTTTTTCTTCAGAATACCCAGGATGGAATTGATGGATTGTATTGTAGTTCTGCTTTTAATTTTTTGGGAAAAACTTCATACTTGATATATTACTTAAGATATTGCCTAATAATACAGCCTACTATATTTCACCTCATTCTCCAGCTCTTAATGACTATTCCCTTTTTTTCTTTACTATTAGACTCTTTAAAAGTAGAAAAAATTTTAGGACATAGTTTTTAACCTGATTCATACACATAATTTGCTGAAACTAGGAATGAGTTCATGAATTTTTTTGAAGTTCTGATGTTTCTTTACATTCCTATACCTAAAGTTGGTATTTTTTAATAACTATGATTTATTGAGAGTGACACTGAATGGTACATATATACAAATTCTAAAACCAACTTTAATAAAAAAACATTTTGATTGCAAACCAAATTTGTTTCTGTATTAATGGGCTGACTGAGAGGATAAAGGCTGGAATGCAGAACTATAGAGAAAAGAAAGAAAACGTGGGGATGCATGAAAAGGCAGATTTCTTTGCAAAAGAACAGAGAGAAAAAATTATTTGTGTAAAGAAGGAAAATATCATGCCATAGGATTTAGTGGAAAGAGTATTTTCCCCATCTTAAAATCTGCTATTTAATCCCAAGTATTAAAAAATCTGGGCTTCCCTGGTGCTCAGTGGTAAAGAATCTGCCTGCAATGCAGGAAATGTAAGAGACGTGGGTTCAGTCCCTGCGTTGGGAAGATCCCCTGGAGGAGGGCATGGCAACCCACTCCAGTATTCTTGCCTGGAGAATCCCATGGACAGAGAAGCCTGGCAGGCTACAGTCCATTGATCGCAAAGGGTCGGACATGACTGAAGTGACTGAGCATGCATCACATGTTAACAAGTCTATAAATTTATGTTCAGTTTCTGACTTTGTTTTTTTCTCTAAAGAATAATAAATATTAAAACTTATCTGCATATTTGATGCCAATAAACTTATACTGGCTCAGATATGACAAAGTGACTCACAAACTTCTTCGGAACTAATTGTATTGTCATCTTGTTACCCAAGCTGCTATGAACAATGTATTTTCAAAGAAGAAGACAAAATACACATAGATATTATTATAGCTGAAAAAAAAATGAGAATCATTCTTGCATTGTATTTAGTAGATAATTCTAAATTATACTCTCCATTATGGACTAAAATTACAATTAAACCTGAATTTGTGATGATTTCAGCACTGACCAAAATGATTAGCTCATTAAGGTCACAATGGGTTGTGTTTTGGTCAGGATACATGTGTGTGACTATAAAGAAGCAATGTCTGGGTATGGGTTATAATAATTAACATGGAAACATTGTTTGCAGTGTTCTGTTGGCTTATTTGGTCTCTGATCTAATGCCTTTTTGCTAAAGGCATATGTGTGTTGACAGAGTTAAAAGTCATAACCCTGTTGATAACTGTTTCTATTATTGATGTTTGGCAACTTATTAAGCATTTTTCCACTTCTCAGCGGGCATTGGGACTGAGCAACCTGTTTTGTTTTGTTCTTGATGCTCATCAATTATACAAAATGCCTTATTTTTTCCTCTCTTATGGTGTGTCCTACTGCACTCTGTCCTGTGAATCCCACAATCCTAAGCGTTTTCAATGCTGACACTCATGTCCTCATGACTCAATCTTACCTTCTTTCCTGAAGGAATATGTTGGGGAGGCAGGGGAGCCCTTGGTCCCCAGAGTTTCCTCTTGCTGTCTCTTGACTCCTTATAAACACTGTAACAAATATCAAAAATATCATTTGCTATTGTATAATGAATCTTGCCAAGTAATAGGAAATATTAAACTTTGGAGGAAAACATAAGCAAAATATCTCCTTAGTTTACCATAGAAATATTTTACATATCTTGGTAGTCTCATTTAGAATTTTTTTAAAAATTGAAATATAATTCTCACATCATGAAGTTCACCATTTTAAAGTGTACAGTTCAGTGGTTTTTACAGTATTCATTAAGTCCGATGGAAAAAACAATTTATTTTTTTGCTTTGTTTTCATTTTGCCTAATTTTATCTCCATTATTTCTGTGCTTTCATGTTGTTTTTGCATTTATCATTTTACATTGGTGTTGCCATATCTTCAGTTACATAGCCATTCTCTATTCACTGGACATGTGGGCATTCTACTTCTAAAATTATTATAATTATTAATCTCATTAATTGACAATAGTTATAATATTAATTTTGTCAATATATTACTAAAACATTAATTTTAAAATATAATATTTTGTATAATTATTAATAATGATAATACTATCTTAAACAGGTAAATCTTTATTTTGAATCATTTCTTAAAGAATATACTTGGAGGTATTAATTACTGAATAAAGGAATGTGATTATTTTAAAATTCTTTAAATTTTTTTCCTTAACTCTTGCAGTAAACTGAAGATGCTGACAATGTTGCGTATATCCATATTCAATACCTGACCAGTACTAGGTTTCATTATCTCATTTGTTTTTGCCAAATAAAGTGGTATAAAATGGTACAAAGAAGTAATTTTAAATTTAATTGCTTTAATTATGAGAGAGGAAGCAAACTTTTCTGTATAATGATTGTAGGTATCTAAGAATTGTCCACATGTGATAGAACTGTTCCCATCATATTACACTACTGCTCAATAATCTACAATGCCTAATCTCTATTTGAGTCAAATCCCCCCTTTTTTTTTTTTGGCATTCACATAGTTTTTATTGATTCACAACCTTGAGGAGAGGGATTAACTTGTTATTGAAGTTATAAAAATATAATTTTGAGATGTATCTATTCTAAATTAAATAATATTGTTAGGGGATTTTCAAGCCTCTTTCAAGCCTTTTTCAAGCCTTTGCTCACTCATTTATTTTCATCCCCTTCAAATTTCATGGGAAATTTAGGGCATTCAGTTTCTTTTTTTTTCTTTCTTTTTTTGTTGTTTTATTAGTGCTTACTTCCCCCCCCCCCCTCTGTTGTAGCTCCTCGACTTTATTATTATTTTTTTCCACTTATTTTTATTAGTTGGAGGCTAATTACTTTACATCATTGCAGTGGTTTTTGTTGAGTCAAATCTAAACACAGCACATAAAAGGCGTTAAATACTGACTGGCTGCTTTTCTGCTTCTAAATCCAAATCTAAGTAAATATTTCCCCGGCACAAAGTCATTATTTTAGGTATTGTGTCACTTACGGATTGACTGATTCTCAGTTCCACATTATTCGCGGTTTGGGACCTGCCTGTGAAGATGGATTCTGGTCTAATTTTTCCTGCGGCGCTGGCGCTGAAGTTTTGTCAATAGAGGGCGCCAGAGAGACAATACAGAAGAAAAAGGACTTTCCTGATGGCTCAGACAGTAAAGCATCTGCCTGCATGCAGGAGACGCGGGTTCGATCCCTGGGTTGGGAAGATCCCCTGGAGAAGGAAATGGCTACCCACTCCAGTATTCTTGCCTGGAAAATCCCATGGACAGAGGACTCTGGTAGGCTACAGTCCATGGGGTCGCAAAGAGTCGGACACGACTGAGCGACTTCACTTTCACTTTCTTTAGGGTGCTTCCTCAGCAGTTTTCCTGCACCTGCGGGGACACCGTGCACCCGGCTCCTCCCGCGCTCAGAGGTGCCCTGGTGCCCAGCCTCCGCCCTGTCCTGCCCTGCAGCCAGCAGCACCCACAGACCCCACCTCCCCGACCCCACCCTAGGTGTCTCCACACTCCCATGCAGTTTTACAGTGGAGTGCCTCTAGTGATCAAGACCACTGCCCATGAACACTTTTCCTTCACACTTCAGAGAGTAGCTTCCTAGAAACTTCCACCGTCTGGCACCAACAATAACTTCTCTACCATTGGGTGAGTCACAGCTGCACAGATCTGGACCTCAGCCTAAAGCTGGGGTGGGGGAGGGGAAACTCTTCCTTGGATGCTGCTTCTCTTCCTGTGGGTACTGGCTGGTCTTTATATCTGCTATTTCTATACTGGTTAAGGTTCTCTTTATTTGTTACTAGTCAATCCCTCATTGGCCACCTGATGCGAACTGACTCATGGAAAAAGACCCTGATGCTGGAAAAGATTGAGGGTAGGAGGAGAAAGGGAAGACAGAGGTTGGATGGCATCACTGACTGGATGGACATGAGTTTGGGTAAACTCTGGGAGTTGGTGATGGCCAGGGAGGCCTGGCATGCTGCAGTCCATGGGGTCGCAAAGAGTCGGATACAACTGAGCAACTGAACTGACTGACTGTGATGTAGAATTCTTTACCTTGAACTTTTCATGTTAGGATTACACAGTGATTTCTCTCTCCTAATTGGACCCTGGTGGATACAAATACTGACATGTACAGGCAGTAGTTGAGAACACCAGTGAGAGCTGCCTGACAGCAAGGTGTGGGTGTGTAATTGACTGGAAACAGTACATGAGGAAATAAGTATGTATTATTACATGTAACATAATAATCCTCCTTACTTATCCTGGGGTTTTAATTTTCATAACAAATTTATCCAGAGAGAAGAAGTAATTATTCTGCCTGGTGGGGGGGTGGGCAAAGAACTTTTAACTTGTGATGCCAATATATTTTCTGCATTATCTTGAAGCCAACCTAGAAACTGTATCATTGTACCAGTAAAAAAAATTCACTTGGAATCTCTGCAAGTTTTTAAAATATTTAACTACAGTACCACTGTCACACCTAAGAAAAATAACATCAGCACTTCAATACCATCAAATATTCAGTGTTCAAATCTTTCCAATTGGCTCGTAAATTTTTTCAGATGTTCTGTTTTTAATAAATTTAAACATTTGTTTCAGTAAGTGTTGATAGAATCATTGGCTATCTGTATAAAAATGAATATTGACACTCTATCTGACACACACACTCAATTAAGGTGGATCACAGACCTGAATGTGTAAAGGAAAACAAAGTTTTTGATGAACACATAGATTTGGAGTAGGCGAGGTTGTCTTAAATAGAACACAAAAGGCACTAACCTTAAAAGAAAAATGATAAACTGAGCTTCATGAAAATTAAGAAATTCTGTTCAGGAAAAATACTATTAAGACAGTTAAAATGAAAGCCACAGACTGGGAGACACTTTGCTTTCTTATCTCTGATGAAGCACGTCTGTTAAGAAAGAACTCCTGCAAGTCACTAAGAGACACACAACTCAATTTAAAAACTGGCAAAACTATTAGGATCACTTGGAGTCCCTTCAAAAATACAGTTGATCTAAACAACATGCTACTAAAAAACCAAAGGGTCAATGCTGAAATCAAAGAGCAAACTTAAAAATACCTCGAGACAAATGACAATGAAACCACAGCCATACAAAATCTATGGGATGGAGCAACACCAGTCCTAAGAGGGAAGTTCAAAGCAATACAGGCCTTCTTCAAAAACAAGAAAAATCTCAAATAAGCAACCTAAGCTACTACCTAAAAGAATTAGAAAAAGAATAAACAAAGCATAGTCAGCAGATGAAAGGAAATAACGAAGAGGAAATAGAGATAAAAAAAATAGAAAATAGTCTATAAAACCAACTGGTTTTTTTTGAAAAGATAAACAAAACAAGCCTCTGGCCAGGCTCACCAAGAAGAAAAGAGAGAAGACCCAAATAAACCAACTAAGAAACCAAAAAATACGAGTGCCCATTGTACTATCACTGTTATAGCTTATCAAGGCAAACATCAATAGATGGTAGCACCACTGAACCAAATATTCATACAGTCTCCAAGTCTCTCCCCACAGATCACTCACTGATGACAAAGGAGAAAAAGGAACCTTTCAAGTTGCGAATTAAGGCAGATATCACCTAATCAAGTAATCAAACTTAACATCAGCGATAAGACCAAAAAGTTGGGGAAAGGGAATACTTTGAACACATTCTTCACAAGTGAGAAAATAACTGCTATAAGCAAATGATCAATAAAAATACAAAAAGGTGATCTATATCAATAATTACCATGTAAAGACAAAATTTAAAACACAATGAAATGCCACTATATGCCAACCAGAATGACTTAAAAATTTTAAAGAACAACAATACCAAGTGCTGGTAAGGATATGGAGCAACTGGAACATTCTCTTAAATGATTGGAATGTTAACTGAAATAGCCACTTTTGAAAACTGTTAAGCAGTATCTACTATAGCTAAACATATACCAACTTTGTAACTCAGCACTTCACTCCTAGATATATATCCAGGACATGAGGACACACAAGAAATTAGATATATGTACAAGAATGCTCATCACAACTATTGAGTGAAAGGACAAAGGTTGTTGGGGAACAAGATAGCATATTACATAACATATTATCAGGGCTTCCTAGGTAACGCAGAGGTAAAGAACTCCCCTGCCAATGCAAGAGGTGAAGGTTTGATCACTGGATTAGGAAGATCCCCTGGAGGTGAAAATGGCAGCCCGCTCCAGTCTTCTTGGCCGGGAAATCCCATGGACAGAGGGGTCTGGCGGGCTACAGACATACGGTCACAAAAAGTTGGACATGATTGAGCATAGTAGCATTTGGCTCAGGGAACAAGTGTCTTCTCTGAAACACACTTTTTCAGTTGGCTTCCAAGATGCCACACTCTCCTGGTTTTATCTGTACCATTCTAGTCCTTTCTCATTCTCCTTTGCTGATTTCTTTTCACCTTCCTCCACTCTAAATCCAGATGGGCCAGTGGGACTTCCTGAAATTACAGAAACGTCCTCTATGTGAACTGGAAAATATAGTAGACACGTGCGGCTATTAAC